AACAAACAATAACATAAAAAATAATTACATTTCCTCAAAAAATCTTGTTTTGTTACTTTGTTTGAAATACATAAGAAATTTATATTATGAAGTAAAATATTTCCTTTTTTTATCTATAGACACGGGGTTCGAACATACAGCCGATGCCATGGTATTATGCAGCATTTGATATTGAGTACAACATCCTGGTTCGTTTTACTGAGTACGTGCTGTGTTGTTATTGGTAGGTTTTTAAATGCTTTTTTTCTGTTTCTTTTTTCTCTGAACTATTCAGTTTATTATTCTTGTTTTTTTTTAAGAAAATAATACAATTTTCTTTAGAATTCTTTACAAAATAATTTTTACTTATCTAAAAAATAATCTTCATTATTTGTCATTTTTACACACTATATGATAATGGTCTTCATTTTTACTCAGCATCAACAATGCCTATGTGTTTGGATTTTATTTAAATTTCCTGACTTGCGTTTTATAAAGTGCAGAAACTTGTTTTAGCCAAATTCAAAATTTCTCTTTAAGGAGCATTATATAATAGACAATCAATCTTTCTCAATTTCGATATATTTTTCTTTTTTTAAAAACTTTGAAGGACATCTGTATAAAGGAACTTATAAAGATGTATGTGTTCTTCAAAGCTATTCCAAAGTTTTTAAAAAGTAAAAGAAAAGTTTAAGAAAAAATATAAAACTATTTTAATAGATATTTACTAAAAATGAAAATTATTCTTTGTTAAGTATCGATAACCTAGGAATATTTTACGTACTATCCAAATTCATAAAAAGTTAAGAAGTTAAAGAAATTTTAGAAAAAAAGATAAGATAAAATATCTTTGGATAAAGAGAATTTCCAAAAATCTCTAGAAGACTCATTATAGGTGGGAAGAGTATGAAACCATTTACATATAAAGTACAAAGTTATTTACAGATAATATTGGTTTTATTAATCACTTTCCAGACGAAATTGAAAAAGATATTGTCTAAACTTTTATGTATACATATTAAAGCAATATTAATACACACACACATATTTTTTCAACCATTTAGTACAAATAAGTAATATGAAATAAATACATATTTTAAAAATAGACACAAGAATTGTCCGTCAGTGGCAAGTCTGGTGGTTTATAACGCTAAAAAGTCGGGTTTCGATATCTGTGGTGAGCACAGCACAGTTAACTCATTGTGTAGTTTTGTGCTAAACAACAAACAAACTCACGAATTAAATACATATATATATATGTATTTCAAAATATACACGTCACATAAAATCCTTACAAAATTAAACACATTAAGATACATTCAAATATAAATAAGTTTAAACTTATAGAATATAATTTCTGTTTTTTTTAATCCATCATTGTATATTTTGTCATTTTTCATCACATTAAAACTTTAACCACATTACATTTTCTTCTAATGTTATTATAATAACTATTTATTTTTACAATACTCAACAATTAAAAACAACTCTTAAACAACTCTTAAAACAACTCTTGCTCACTTCACTGTTCTCTCTGTAATTCTGAGTAATGTTTCCGATCATCAAACAATTCAAACTAACATGATAAATTATATGTTCAAAAAGGGAACACATGAAAATACGATTCTTTTAGAATTTTAAATTTGTTCATAGTACATCTATTAAAATGTTTGCCAGCATAGTGGGCCTTTTCCGGAAAATCTAACATAAAATGTATGTAAATTCATCCTTAAACTTAAATTATCTGTTTCATCAACACATTCTAAAAGACATAAATTGCAGTTAAATAAATTATTAATGAAAAGCGAAACTTCTCTATTATTTTTCTTGGTAGGTTTAATATAACCTTAATTAGATAAAGCACAATTATTTCTTTTACAACTGAAAACATCTTCCTTAGGGCAGTCTATTTTCTTTCAGGTCTATTAAAGAATTTGTATAAATTTTCGGTTGCCGTCTTGGTAAAATTTTTTTTATTATATTTGAGAATATTTTTAAGATTTTTTTTATCTACTATTTGTTTTAATTGTGTTTTAACAAACCAAATATCAAAATTTTCACTTGAACATTGAGTTACTAAAAATATATGTCATTCTATTTATGTTTACTCACATTTCTTTTGAAACTTTTTTATTATAAAAGTAATATAACACTCTCAGGATAAGAATACCGAAAAAATTGTTCTATTCTAATAATCTAATGACATCGTTTCTTCTGTTTAAACTAAATTTTGTAGTCTATTCGCAAAATGTACTGAAATATTTATTTCTATATATGTTTGGGATGATTACTAAAAACATCTACACACTGGTGTGAGTCTGTGGGTTTGTAAATATATGTTTTACTATCCCCTTTTCTGGTGAAACACTTCTGAACACATCTAAAAGGAATAAGGTATTATAATTATTTTCGAAGTTAAACTCAATCTCCTTATTTATCGAATTCAAAATCCCAAGAAACTTATTAATATCTTGAGTATCCTTCCATATCACAAATTAATCGTTTAGAAATCTTCATTTTTTAAAATTAATACGCATGCTACAAAATTATCTTCAAAATAATTAGGTAGTGTATTAAATAAATGCACTTCAAAATTTCCGGTAGTGATATTAGCATAAGTTGGAGTGAATTTTGTACCCAGTACTGTACCAGGTATTCGATAAGAAATGTGTTCCTCTTAGGCAAAAAAGCAAAAAGAAACAAAAACAACAGCATATTTTAAGAGTAATTCTAAACCTTTTAAGATAAACCTTAATTAGACCTGAGATGAACGAATTCCTCGTGTTGATCCAGACAAAATTTCACAGCTGTAAGTCCATAATGATATTTAATGCTTGAATATACAGCAATTAAATGTAATGAAACAAACCTTTGATTTTCTTCTAATAATTTTGGCAATATTTCAATAAATTCAAAAACATACCTAATAAAGCTCGGAATATGGGATAAAAATAAAAATGTTTTAATAATACGTCCAAAAGATTACTTACAGGTCCTGTATTTTTATTACTTCATACAATTGGTCTTCTCAAAATATTAGGGGATTTTCTAAGATGAATATATTAATTTCTTGTTTTAGATAATATTTTATTAATCTGTTTTGACTTATGGGTCTCTGTAATTCCCTCAAAACAACTAATTTCTGAATTCTTCAAAATATTTTTTGTTAATCTCATTTTAAATTATTCAACAAAATCCACTAATTTTTCTCGAATGGAATTTATGCATCCTAATTTATTTAAACCTCCCCTTTTTTTGGTAAACCCTTGTATAACTTAAATGTTCATAAATCGTTTGATAATGAATTTTTGGGTCATAATTACCTATAATTTATCTTTATTCGATTTTTTAAAAACAAAATTAGAATCCCTGCGTTTCATAACTGATTTCCTTTTTTTATTTAAGTCAGATTATTATCATTCTCTGTTTTTTTCAGTAACAGCATATAATTCTATTTTTGACAAATTAACTGTATAGCTACCATAAAGAAACCCGTTGATACTGGGTATGGTATGAGAATATACATATATATATATATATATATATGTAAGCATGATCTAATTGATTAAGTTTATTTCCGGGAGTCATGGGCAATTTTCTACTTCAGATTAATTACGCCTTAGAGTATGAGAATTAATGCCGCCATGACTGGAATCTCAACGTGAGATAACAATTTCGTGAATTATTGTTCTAAGTGCTATTTCACGTTTTCTTATATCATGTTTAACAATTCTTCAGCATTATAATCGTAGAATGTCAGTCCCACAAGCATAAGACCAAGTCATAAGTATTATCTGTCACATACACCCCAACCTAAGGACTGGATGTATCTTAGTGCCGATTAAAACAACAATTTTCAGTAGTTTCATATGTGATCATAATAAAGAAGCCCGTTGATATTGGGTGTGACACAAACTTTTGACTTATCTTCATTTGACATGACATTATTAAACTCTGGGTGAATTTTAATCATCCTAATTTATTTGATCTAATAATAGTAAATATATTTCGAGAAAACTTTTACACAAAAATCTAATAAAAATCATACCACATCATTACACCTGTCACACAAAAGCCAAAAAAGGAAGAAAAAAAGACTTGATTGGTGCTTCAAATAATTGTGTAACTATAGAATCTAATGGCAACGAAGTGGAATAAACATGGCAACAGTTCCCACGTTCTCAGTGTAATACTGAACTGTCTTTCTCAGCTATTATTATCTGTGATTAGAACAACCCTTTCTGTCTACAGTGACGCTTGAAATGAAATTGTTTGGCAATTAGAATCTCTTTGACTGTTAGCTGCTGATAAGTCACGTGCACGGGCAGATAACTTGGTTTTATCCACTGTTTACACCATAAACTGGTGAAGAGTATATTTGCTTTATTTTACAGACAACAAAGATAATTAGCAAACTAGACAGTAACAGTATATATATATATATAAAGCTATTCACATTCTTTAAGTAATAACAACTCACTTTTGACGCTATATGTGCATTTTTAAACTATATCATTATTATCATCATTTTACACTAGGAGGATCTAATAACCCACCACGATTTGCTATCGGAGGTATAAGTGAAATTGTTGTACGTGTTCAGGAAGGCCCCGAAAGTCAAGGTCAGTATATTTTGCACAAGTAAGATTAGTGTTATATTAAAAGCAAATTATCCAGGTTTTTTTTTTATATATGAAAAAGAACTATTACGTTCAACAAAACTATTAGCTATCAGTTTAGAAGTGGATAAGAAAAAACGACCTCAAAAGTAAATAATCACAGTTAACCAAGTCGCACATATATTTGTATGCAAATAAGTCTAAGTTTATTCATGTATTTTAGTATTATCCTTTCAGTAGAATCTATTTCGGTCTTTCGTGAGTATAGGTCACCATCAAAACGACCGAATTGATAATTTCTTTTTGGACTTTGTCTCCCGATGGGACAGCTGTAACTTTACGAGCTTGCAATGATAAAATCAGGGGTTCGATTCCCCGAGGTTCACATAGCAGAAAGCCCAATGTGTGTTTTTTGCTCAAAGAACAAACAAGCAAACAAACAATCTTTGGAGTTTTAAATAATTGTCTATTTTCTTTAGTACTTGCACGAAGTGCACGACATAGTGGAATCGAAAAATTCTTGTATCAATTCAAATTTTTTCATAAAAGAAAATTATGGCATTGGCAGTCGGTTTCGGGACATTACTAAGTGTAGTTTTTCAGGTATATCTATATCACGAAACCGATTTCTAATCATATATAACATTAAACATTTCGATTACCGTTGAATTGGTGCGATATAACGTTTTTCATATGAGAACTGAGTACGTTATAGTAAAACGATTTTGGAGCTTCACTGACGCATTGCAGTCCATGTTGTCACGTCCGTTCATGTTCTATCTGACAACCGTGCATTCTTGACAATTGCCTAGTAGCGTAATTTCCATTGCAAAAGGCTCCGTCGTTAGGCTGCTATGTATAAAGCACACACTCCTATCAACATGCTTAACATAATCCATCTAATTTACGAAGACGACAGTTTCCCAGTACTAGTTTCAACTGTCTGATCGTAGAGAAATTTATAGACCCTACCTGGCTTAACCGGTATGTCTCCGCACGGAATAGCATGAATACTCGTTTCATATGAGTGGAAGCCTTATCTTGGTGAACTCATACCTTGTCGGCCTCGTTTCCACACGGAGATCCTTCTTTATCATGTTGCATACTGTTTCCTAGGTCACGTAGACAGCTTTTATCACTGACCCTTCTGTTCGTGGATTCTCCCCTGTTACAAGACGCGGTTTGTTGCTTACCACGAATGGGGTACGTCTTATTGCCGGTCTCTATCTAGATGTTTCTACTGCCCCACGTTGATCCATACTCTTTTGTTTTCCAATCTTATAAAGCGTAAGGGGTATTCCTGTCTTGAAAATTATAAACCCCCGATGTGAACACATCTTTATGAACTAATTTTATAAAAATTTTCGTCGGAAATGGCCATTACATATCCTTCGAAAAAGCGATCAATTTTCGGTGCCATCACACTACTTATGAAAGGTCAAACAATTTCAAAGTGTAGTTCTGATATATACCGTTTCAATGCGACTTTATATCGATCGTGATTGTCACGCGACTTTCTGATTGGCTTATTAAAAATCGTTTTGATATAACATACTCAACTCTGTATTATCTGTCTATTTCACTTTCTATATATATATGTGTGTGTGTGCACATACGTACATACATAAAACTCATGAAGTATTCTTTTTTTTTTCTATAGGCAGATACACGTTTTATATATACAAACAGTTTGATACTATATTTTATATTATGTGGTTTGTAAATAACAGGAGAGAGAGTTATTTTTTTGCTTCATTACCTGCTGTACGTTGTTTACACAAGAGCCTGAGACGTTCTTTAAAGTTCTCAGTAGTTTGTCCCATGTTTGTAACAACCTCTGCATTTGGTTAATCCGTTTGTATAGCTACCAACAAAGCACAAAAAACATTTGTATTTAGAAACTTCATATTTAAAGTGTTACGCATTTAAAAATAACATGTTTTCGCATGGCAGGGAAACTACTGTATCGGTTAAATGGTGAAGACCCGGATGAAGATAAGCTTACGTACGGTGTTATGGGTCCAGTTGGGAAGGACCTTCTGCGATTTGAGAGTGTGGGAAAAACGGACGCTAACGTCTATCTTCGCCATGAACTGGACAGGGAGGTATGTGCTAGAATTTTCAGTAAACATTTCACTCCCTCGATGAGGAATCTTATGGTGACTGTTTCACATATACATTCGCTTTCTTTAATTTCTATTATTAAGCGTACTTGGAATAATGCGCGCAGATATACAGTCAAGATTCTTTACTGACATTTTACACACGTATGTATTTACTGTCTATTATTCTCCACGTGCCTGAGATTATGTGACTACTTTCCTAATTTACTTTTAAATATAAACACTTTCATATTTATACTTTTTTTTTGGACTTGTTCTTCTAAACAACCAAACAACTTGGTGTACTCAATAAGAATGAAAACTTGTTTTCCAAATAAATATTTAAAATATTCTAGAAACATAAAGTGCTGCCATCTAGCATCCAGAATTAAAGACAGAAACATCATGCAATACATATACACATTATATCGGAAACGTAAATGTTAATGCTATAATATAGAAGGTTCATTATATTGACTTACAATAAATTAAACATGAAATTTTTCAACACAGTTTTACAGATCTTATGCAACTTTAGCTAACAAAATGAAATAAGATATCACACTAACACTTGTTCATTCAACTCTTTCTGAGTAAAAAAATAAATAAACTTTATATACATACACAGACAGATAGATAAATAGATGGATGGTTGAGTGTAAACATAGTACAATATGCCACTTGGTTATAGCTAATAACCAGTATATTTGCAATGTTCAGTTTTGGGCAACACAGCTGTGTAATTATTTCGGGTCACCTGTGTTAATCACTCGCACCACTATACAGCAGTGTGTTATCTGTCAGTCAGTCAATAGACACTAAAATTACATCACATAAGGAACGCTTAACGTTGCAATTTGTATTGTCGTGATGCCAGTAAAACGTGCGCATGGCATGAATCACGAGAATAATTATGCACTTTGTAGGCTACAACATAGCATGACATATTAACATCAAAAGCAAGAAAAAAAAATATGTGTTACTCTTAATTTTGATTTTATTTATTCTTCAAACAGAACACTTTCGCAGACCCTACGCAAGTACGTCTAGCAGCAGTACTGATTTCAGTGGGCGACAATTTATAAAATATTTTGGGCCACCTGTTGAAAAGTTCCTTTAACTGGTAGTTTAGATAATTAACACAAATTCAAAATTATTTTAGAATACAGATGTTTACGGAAACATGGTCGTTTTTATTTACATTTCCAGTATTTTCTTTGTATTATATTTCAATCACTACGTTTGAGAATTCAGTGCCTGTTTTGTTTTGTAGGTGAAAGATTCCTACTCATTTGTGTTAACACTAACGGACGGAAAACTCAGAGAAGGGTATTACGTAAGTACTGTAATTAAAGATATCGTTTGGTAATTAATTGTCTTTTGTTAGTGAGCATTCAAAGTATACAAGTGTGTTAGGTTGTAAATTAAAACATTTAGTCTCACGCATTGAATCGATTCCTTAATATAACTCTTTTTTTTCACTCTATCAGTTGCTGAAGTATATTCTTTCTGTTCAGCTTGAATTACAAAAATATGTATGTTTAAAAACTCTATTGTGTAAAGTTATAAAACCTTTGCTTTTGTTTATATGTTTTATAAGTTAGGATTTCCCGATTTACAATTAAATGCACGGAATAAGATATATTATTATATCAACTCACTCGTGGTAATATATATATTTCTAGATTACACAAACAATGTTGATAATTGTGGAAGACGTCAATGACAACGAACCAGTTTTCAAACCATTTAGGTCTACCATATCCGTGAGAGAAGTAAGTTTTCAAACTGTTACTGATCATAGTAATTAGATTTGATACTAAAAATAAAATATGGGATTTATTTTATACTGAAAATCAAATAGGGAATTCATTTCTAAAAAACTGTGTGAAACATATTGAAAAGTGCCAATTTATCACAAATCCCGGATAGTGTACTATGGGAAAAACTGCCATGAAAACTCATTTTAAATCAAAAACTCTGCCGTGAAAACCATTTAAAATTAAATAAAAACTCCAACATAATTACAATCGTTTTTTTATTCTTTATTTTATGAAATATCTGTAAACTAGAACAAACTCTTTGAATGTGCCACAATTATACTTACCTATAGCATATATCCACTCACCTGGGAACACCGAAATTGATATTTTCTCTACTCCCAGTATCATACACAGAAATACATAAAACAGGAATCGTTACACTGAATAACAAACGTGCGGAGTTACTGAATAAGTTTGCTCTTTGTGCATAGAAAGTTATAAGTTTAGTCGATATTCCAGAGTTAATATGAATTTCCGATCAGAGCAAGTTACCTCCTTTAACTAACCTCTGTCACTTAAGAAAACACATGAAGTAGCAACAGGACGTAATAAATAAGGTTAAACCTTCTATAAGAACCAAAAAGTAGACGAGTTAGGCTTCGATAAGTAATAATAATAAGACTTAGAAATAAAAGTTACAACAAGGGTAAATGTGGCAAAGTAACTGGCAAAAACTATTGTGACTTAACTAATGACCTAATGTTACATCATATACTGAATTTTTATATAGTTAGCATTAACTACATATATAATAACTTAAACTACAGTAGTTCACTTATTACCTTAAACATTTTACAAAAGAATTAAAGTGGAAACTAAAAGGTTTGAAAATGTCGTGATTTCCTGCAAAACTTCTAAACGAACAATAATTATTTCTATTGTTTGTAAGCTCTTTTTTTTACAGTATTAACTATTGGCTTAGCAGAAGAAACATTGCTAAGAATTAACTAAGTTTTTTTCTTTTCCGAAGAACAACTTTATACACGCTTAGAGAACTTTTAAATATTCTTTTAAGTCTGACTCAGCAAATGCAATACTTTCCTTTTATAAATACCCAGTTTTTATCTTTTTTAGATTCCCTGGAATATACATAAATTTCGGGGTTAATAAATATGTATTGCATAAGAGACGTAATCAGCTAAATTGTTAAATACTAGCGATATGCGTAATAAAAACGATAATTAATAAGATAGTAATATCCAAATTGAACTTATCTCATAAAACTCACAAAGATATTAATATTTAACATCAGAAAACGTAGTCCAGAGACTTTTTTTCAATGATAAGATTTCCACTAAGTACTACAAGTGGGCAACTTTTAGAAGGGTTAGTTTCTCATATGTAGATGAAGATGCGCGAGATGAAAGCAACAACTGCTTTTTGAATATTCCGAAGTATCTAACCAATAGCTCCCTTTATTTCGGGTAATTTTTTACAACAGAATGTGGATTCCGAAGTGGTGTAACTTTGTACTCGAATGATTATTACTTTAGCTTACAACTAAAGGTTTGATTATCTTATATTTTGCCTACAATTGTTTCAGTATAATTTACAAACAAATGAACGGTTGTTTTCCTAAAAGGCAGAGATTTTAACACAACATTCTGTTTTTTGGCATGTAATCCTAGTTGTTTATCCTACTTGTCGAAGCACGTAAACTTTTTCCTCTACTGGTTGGTTCTTCAGGGAACGTTCGTACTTCACTGAATTGTTTGTTTGTTTTAATTTCGTGCAAAGCTACACGAGGGCTATCTGCACTAGCCTTCACTAATTTTGCAGTGTAAAACTAGAGGGAAGGCAGATAGCCATCATCAGCCACTGCCAACTCTTGGGCTACTCTTTTACATACGAATAGTGGGATTGACCGTCACATATAACGCCTCCACGGCTGAAAGGGCGAGCATGCTTGGTGGGACGGGGATTCGAATTCGCGACCCTCAGATTGCAAGTCGAGCACCCTAACCACTTGGCCATGCCGGGCCATTCACTGAATTAAGTGACTTAGGTGACTTAGAAACGGGAAACTTATAGTGCTCTTTAACCACTTGGCCATGCTGGGCCATTCACTGAATTAAGTGACTTAGTTGACTTAGAAACGGGAAACTTATAGTGCTCTTTAACCACTTGGCCATGCTGGGCCATTCACTGAATTAAGTGACTTAGAAACGGGAAACTTATAGTGATCTTCTTGGGATGGAACTCTGATAAAATTCCGTGTTTTTATTATTTTTTTAAGTCCAAAAATATGTTGTTTGTATTTAACAAATGTGCCAATAGTTTTACAATGGTTTCACGTTTCAGTATAATTACAAACATCTATTAGCCGTTGATGTTTCAAAACCATCAAGATCTTTAAAACCGAAACGTTAGGAATATCACTACTGGTGATAGCTGACAGGCCATACAAGTTCAAAAATAACTATTTAAATTCGGTGACGAGGAACCCACTTTGAGACTAATAATGGCTGGAGACGGCTTGAATGGGTAATGAAGAAAAACTTTAATATAAGTTTAACATAACAGCAAGTGTACAACGTTTCGATAAGGTTTTGTCATCATCAGGTACAAAACCTTGTTGAAACGTACCTGATGATGACAAAACCTTGTCGAAACGTTGTACATTTGCTGTTATGTTAAACTTATATTAAAGTTTTTCTTCATTACTCATTCAAGTCTTCACCAAAAATAACTATGTTTGCTACTATTTAATTACAATACATATACAAATATTGAACAAATGTTTTGATGAGCTCAGTAAACTAAACGTATACATAAGTGTTTTTTTTTTGTAGAAGAATTGTATTTTAATTACATGCGTTACAAACAACTCTAACCTTTTGTAGTAATTTTCTGACTAAGTACTGAATCACCTTTTAGCTTTTCAATATATTGGACTAATCTGATTCACAGTATCGTGGATTAATCGAATCCAAAATGTTTAGTTTCAGTTAGTATAGCTGGTGGGTTAAAATTTCTTTTGGCTGTTCTTCTCTTAGTTTTTTAAGTGGAAAGAGTTTTGTAGTCCGAAATGCTGTTCATTTCAAGATCCAAAACAGGAGCAGCATATAAAGCCAAAAATGCCATCCACCTCAAGAACTGAAATAGAAGCAACAAATAGAGCCAAAAATGCCATCCTCCTCAAAAGTTCAAATAGGTATGTGTGTGTGTTATTCTTATAGCAAAGCCACATCGGGCTATTTCCTGTATCCACCGAGGGAAATCGAACCCCTGATTTTAGCATTTTAAATCCGAAGACTTACCGCTGTCCCACCGGAGACAGTTCAAATAGGAGCTGCAATTAGAGTCAAAAACGTAATATACCTAAAAAACGACAACAGGGTCATCAATAGAGCCAAAAATGTCATCCAGTTCAAGAAACAAGGTGGGAGTAATCCGTAGAAAAATCCAGCCCTACAATGTCTTCTTTGCCCAGAACTGCAGTGAAACAAACAATTTAATCACCTCACTTCTGTCATTTCCCACCAAGGTTAATCTTTAAGCCTTAATAATAAACGGTAGTTGGTGAATGTACATGCTCAGTATTTTATAAAATATTAACATCCATACACAACTAAAACTAAAATAATAAAAATATCGTTGCTTTACTGTAAAAAAAGAAAAAAATATTTCAAACATCCATAGAAACATTGTTTTGAAACAACGTCGTTGACTCCATAAAAACACATCTCATGTGTTTACTTTAGCATAGATCACTAAAGGAAAACTAAACCCACTTTAAAGGAAGATTATGTTTTATTTGATTTATTCTATAGGATGCTGTGACAGGTGTGTTAGAAACCGTTGAAGCAGTAGACCAAGATGCAGGACCCTTTGGACAAGTAATTTACAAACTACAGGTAAAAAATTATGATTTTGCTTTGTAGAAGGAAACAAAACAATTAGGATTGCAATTGTTTCATTATTATAGCAATTGTTTTTATTTGCGTAAACTCTCGGATTTAGGATAAACTATTGATTATATCAAAAAAAGTTTGTTGGTTTGAAGTTAAGCAGAAAGCTACACAATGGGCTATCTGTGCTCTGCCCACCACGGGGATCAAAACCCTGTTTCTAGAGTTGTAAGTCTACCGACATACCGCTGTGCCACTTAGAAACATATAAAAAAAGATAATCTCAGTTACGATAAAATGTTAACTGTATACAAAAAGATATTTACCTCACTTAGTATAAACTGTTAAATATATTAAAAATATAATCTGAGTTAGGATATAATATTAAATATATGTAAAAACATATTCTTAGAATAGGCTGAAATATATCAAACAGATCATCTCAGTTAGAATAAAATATATCAAAAATGTAATCTTGGGATAGACTGTTAAATATACCCTCTCATCCACCCCCACCCCCCCAAAAGACCATATCAGTTATGATAGGCTATTAAGGTATTAATAATTACTTAGATTATTTAGCCAGTTAAAACAGACTGTTAAGGTACACACATGTATATTTATCTATATTCACACACACAGCATGCCAATAAGTAAATAAATAGACATTGTACAAGGTATGCAACATTTAAGGCAGAAACATTGTTTTGTTACACGTCGTATTTAAAGAATCTGAAATTTGGTTCTGTGAGATTACAGATTACAGATCCTGGCAAAGAACGTTGATGAAAGCGCCTCCTAAAGTTGTTTTTTTAGACGCTTTTGCAGAGAACTATCAATAATGTACTACACGGGCTCGATAGAGTCATATCCGGAGATTGGCCCAACCACCGGACATTGTTAATACCCTGAGCTTGAAGCCATCGTTTTATGACTGAAGTTGAATGAGCAGGCGCTCCATCTTGCATGAAGATACTGGTTTGTATGATAAGCTGGGCGTTGACGTAAACAGGCAGAAGACTTTGATCGGGAATTGTGATATATTCAGCAGCATTGTCTATACCTTCACATACCACCAGTTGTTATCGTCCACATACCCATATTGTACCCCACACCATAACAGTAATGTTGAAGAAAGGTCCACCTTTCGAAAGCGCTCAGGTTATAGGGTTTTTATTCATTTCTGTCAAGACTTCTTGAACCTACGTATTTTTATAACATCATGAATTGACATATTTTGTTGTGGCTTGTAGAAGGTTCAAAGAAAAATTTTGAGAGGATAGTCGCCATGTTTATATAAGTCAACTATTCGAGTTTTGTGGAAATCTCGAACTCGCCGGAAAATATTACGATGTCCGTAAAGATGGTGTAACTGCATCCGTCTAGTTATTCTGGTATTGAAGGCGATGATATGAGAATAACTTGTGATGGTATTGAGACACACTTTCACCTGCCCTTTAACAAAAGAGACCATTAACGTGGACCATTCTCTGCACTTCCCTGTCAAAAAACGAAGAGTCTGCTCTGTTGGTTTTGGGCACTCAGATCACGCAGAAAGAAACTTCTGTTTTTGACATGTATGGAATATAATTGTCACTCTATTCTCTGTGGACAGTGGTATTAAAAATGACCTGGTGTTTTTCGCTGACTTTTAAAACCTTCTCATCATTCAACTGTGTGATCTCTGGAGATACTTTCGTTCTGGCATGGCTGTTTATATTATGTAATCTTTATGCAATTATACGTTGGGGTTATTTGCATATGACATGAAGAAGATGGTTTATTTGTTTTCTAAGGAGTATCTACTTGCTTATTAGTAGGACATTTATATACATAAAAACGTGGGTTATGTTCTTGTTTATAATATAATATCTAAGGGAATTTCGGGTGAATAAAAAATAATCTGGGTTAAATATCCTCGTGAGCTATAATACCACTTTTGATTTTTTTGTCACATTTTTTTCAGGGTTTCACCAATAAAAGTTTTTTGTATAGTAAAACAATTCGTTTTATTTATTTTTTTCACTTAGGTTTATTGAGATTAGAATGAACCAATGAAAAAAATTAAGAATTTATTATTTTTAAAAGCAACAAAATCGTTATCAAACATTAAGATTCTGACCTTGTTACATTAAAAGTCAAATAATATGTGAGCATTTTTAGGTCCTTTACGTAATCCAATTAATACGGGAAATTATCTTGTTAACAGGCAGTAAATATATACTCGTACATAATTTAATTCACTGTTTAGAAAATATTGTAAATTTTGTAATTTTTCAAACCACAGGATTTCTTTTCTGTAAGTCGTTTCTCTGATGTCAGAAATATATCACTGTTGAATATCATCACTCTGTTCTTTTAAAATCGATTAATATTTTTACACGTTCTCGTTTACTCGAAAACTTATGACATTTGTTTTCATGTTTTATTAATTGATAAAAAAGTTTCAAACATAAAGCTCACTTTTCAGAACGAGGAAGAAGATGTCATTAAGACATTCTCAGTCCAAACCCAGAACGGTAAAGGCGTCATAAACCTCATAGGACCGTTAGACTTCGAAAAGAAATCTTTATATCAACTTCGTGTTCTAGCGACCGTGAGTATTTCTGATTTTAGTCCTTCAATGTCTTAAACATTTTGTTGTAACATGTTTGTGTGTTTGTAAATAGCAGTGTGCATATTTCAATTATAGTTTTGAACTACAAGTATCATTGTGCAAAGTTTTTAATTTTTAATTATAACACATAAAAATTTTGTCATATATAAATATTACTGCAGAAGGTTACAGTGAATTAGAAACGGACGAATAGATCAATAGATGGGTGAATGGATGAATATATATGGATTGCGAAATGAACAGATGGTTGGTTGAACTACCAAACAGATATGCAGTGAAATATTAGTTGGTTATCGTTAATAATACTTACTAGTTCTGTAAATATGTAATAGAGTTTTTAATTTTTCTTTAAATTTAGGACCGTGCAAATTCTAACAGAAAGAACACCGCCACAGCTGCCATCTTAGTTAAAGTGGAAGACGTGGAAGATCAGCCTCCAGTGTTTAGTCTTGTTCCACCTGTAACGCGTATTCCAGAGGACTTACCTTTGGTAAACAAAATTACCAAGTTATTCTAACTTCACAATATAAGTTATGCGATAACTATACAATACGTTTTCCTAATATGAGGTTCCTCATAAGTTTTAAAAAAAACATCAAACTTAGAAAACAAGAAAGTTTCTGATTCTAGGAAATATTCTGAAACATTGCAAAATTATAAAACTTAAAAGAACACATCACTCTTTCATCTCTATTTCGGTGCACATTGCACAATAAATATAAGTTAGTTAAAATTACTAATTTCATTACTTTTTATAAAATATTTTAGTCATAATTTAACTCGGGAAATATAGACATATTTCTTTAGAATTTCAAATACTACCATTTTTTGTACGAAAGAAATAACCGACTGAAAGTGAAAAAAATATATCCAAGTCTGGATGATGGACACTACTTTGTTGAAATAAATATCTTTCCTACTTCAATAATGTCCAAAAACGGTCTTGGTCAGCCCCTAGATTTAAACTAATTCCAATTGAACTGCTCGGTGATGTTCTTGATTACAATTTCCTGAGCGGAAGAGTACTCAAAATGTCACTTGTTTTGGAGATGCTTGTGGAAGAGGTTTGTAAGAGGAGTAGTTAATAGCAAATTAATATTAGAAATAAACGGCCTTATAACACCAAAATGTTGTTTGTATTTAATTAGACACTCAAAATTTCACTTTACAGCTTCTTCAGGATTGTTCACTAAAACATAAACCGGTTTGGATTTTAGTGCAATAGTTCCCAAATTATTTTAGTCTGAGGCTCCCTTGATGTGAATAAAAAGTTTGAGACCCCCAACCTATAATTTTAGCATGGTGATTGAAAAACAGCACCGTAGTAAAAACAGTAACATCTCCTTTCGATATGCTGTATCATTTAATTAATTCAACATAATTTTTATAGGCTTATTGTTTATTTAGAATTAAAATTAATTCAGCATCTTTCTTTTCGGCCCATTTTGGCGGACCTTCATAAAAAGCGGCCCCCAGGAGTGCCACAGCTCCCACTTTAGGAAATACTGTTTTAGTGACCCTTTCTGAAGAAGTTGTAAAGTGAAACGTTGAATGTCTAATTAAATAAAAACAGCATTTTGATGTTATAAGGTTGTTTATTTCTAGTTTTAATATATCTTCTATACACCAATATGCACTACAAAAATTATACATTGAGCTAATAGCAAATGTTAGTAACAGAGTACAGTCTATGAGTAACACTAAACTTAGGATCTTCGTAGTTGAAATGTCTTCAAAAGTAAAGAACGCCATCTAGGGGCGCATGTTTCTCAACGTCTAGCACCTCAGTATTTTTGACAATAGTTTACAAAAACGTATTTATCAGACTTCTGTAAAAAGAAACACCTTTCCCTGTATATAACGTTATTTTTATCTTTAATAAAAACTCCTTACCTTTTCTTTCAAATTTTTATTATATTATGAAAAATGGTTTGTTTGTTTGTTTTAGCGTAAAGCTACACAATAGGCTATCTTCACTCTAATCACCATGGGGAATCGAACACCGAAATTTAGAGTTGTAAATCCAAAAACTAATCTCTGATCCATTGGAAGATATGAAAAAACAGAACTTTATTTAAAGAAGGAATAAAGTAAAAGCCAAAAAGAAAGTCACAAACAAAGTATATTTGCAGGAATAATAATGCACTCTAATTTTTCAGAAATGTGTAAAGTTGATCACACTGTACGTATAACTCTTTCATGACCGGAAGAGATGCTTGTAATATTTGACAAACTATTTGTATTCGTTGACACTAGAAAAAATGTACATTTTACTTTCATAAACGGTAGAGCTGCGGAGCTCCCCAGTGGCACAGCAGAATGTCTGTGGACTTATACCGCTAGAAACCATGTTTTGATACCCGTGGTGGGCAGAGCACAGATACCCCATTGTGTAGCTTTGTGCTTAATAACAAACAACAACAAGAGCTGTGGATAATGGTTGACTAATAACTTGTATTCGTTTATGTTATACGGAAACAACTACTAACAGGCAAAGCGTCCATCCAAGTCTTATAATCAAACAAACATATTTAACATTGTCAAACTTTATATATGTAAACACGTTCAACTTTTTCTTTCTTTACTTTCTTAGGGGTCCCACGTCCTGACTGTCAAAGCTATAGACGGTGATCGAGAAATAGATAACGTTATTAAGTATCGAATCATTAAAGGTGAGAAGCTTAATTGTTTATCTTTTAAGCTTGGTAACAGAATTGTAAATAATTTATTTGTTATGATGTCTGTTGTTATGTTGAAATAGGAATTGCAATCTTTCTTTCTTAACCTAAGGAGACATTACGTAGTTTGGTGTTAATTCAAAGTTAACATAATAAAAGTCATGGCTAATTCTTGTAGTTCCCAGTTCCCATAATAGCTGACATTAGATGAGATGCTGTTTGAAGTCATCCTTTCCAACACAAGTAACCTATATTCATTAACTTTTTTTTTTCTCCTATCTAAAGTTACTTATAAAGAGTGCAAATATTCACAATTAGTCTAACTTAACCACATGTGATAAACCCAAATATAATTTGAGCTTCATATTTCTTTTCTTCCGTTAAATATTCGTATTTTTGCTAATGAGTAGAAAAGAAAAAGTCATGTGATTAGTTTAGTGTTTTTATTATTCAAGAATCAATATAGAACAATAATATCAACAGAAGATCAACATATTAATAAAGTGATAACTTACGTGTCTTAGGATTATGCATATTGACTGGTGAAAAATAATTTGTTGGTGATTCAATATTCAGTGCGTAAACTACAGGCTTGTATGAA